AGTCTTTGGTGTTTGATTCAGACTTGGTCCTCAAGGGGGCGCTACAGCTCCATGCCGGACACAGGCCTGGCGTGGTGGTGTCTGGCCAGGCTTTTCATTGAGTTTTGTTCCTTCCATGGGCTCCTTTCTTGGAAATCAAGCCTAAAGCGGCTGTGAAAACGTCAAGAGCAAGATCGTAGGCCTAAGTGTGCCCCTCTGGCTTGGGCACACTCTGGCCTTCTGCCCTGTGGTTTCCTATTTCTTCACATGTGATCTGGACATAGTGAAAAAAAATTTCATTCATGTACACAAAATGCATCCTGGTTACCTATTCAATCATATTTTTGATTTTTAATTTATTATTACTGTTGGTTTTAAAGATATGTTTTCGTCAGGTTTAGGGGAACACACCTTTAATCCCAGTACTTGTATTGCTTCTGCAGGCAAGACAATTTTAGGGTAGCCAAGGCTACATGGTGAGGCCTTGTCTCAAACTCCAGAACCCCTGCCCCTGAAAAAAAATCATTTATTTTCATTGTACGTGTATGAGGGCTTTGCCTGCATGTATGTAAGTGTACCACTTGTAGAACTGGAGTTACAGGCACTTGGGTACGGAGACCCCATCCCAAGCACAGCCAGTGCACTCAGTCATGGAGCCATGGAGCCTGATTAGTGTTCTCCGGACTATGGTTTACATACCGCCCTGACTGCTGGCTACCTCTGGGCTAATAACTGCTCCATCTCAAAGGCCGCAAGCGGCCCTTGGTCTCAAGAGCAACTCACGGTTCACTGAAGCAGCAGCTGGGACCCAGGAATGGCTAAGGGGGACATGGCAGGCTCAACCATTTCTCTGTCTACTTCTTTCGTGGATGGGTAGTTTGCCTCCGTGTGTATCTGTGTTGCACCTGCTCGCAGAGGCCAGGAGGAGGCGTCGGATCCTCTGGAGTCAGAGTTATCACTACAACCTGACCCCTTATCCAGGACAACCAGCCTCCTAATTAAATTAAAGCCACCTTCCAGGTCAGACAGACACAGTTAGATCAACTTCCCCCTACTCTACATATGCGTGAGTGCCTTTTGCCCTGAGACGCTCCCTGCTTCTTGCTCTGGCCATGGCAGATCTGGGAAGTATCTGGGGATTTAGGCCGAGTCATTTGGAGAGCATCACACAGTCGAGTGTCTGTCTGGCATTTAAATATATATGGATACATATATATTTATTATTTTTGAAATATAATCTCTCTCTGCAGCCCTAGCTCTCCTGGAACTTACTATGTAGATGACACTGGCCTTGAACTCACAGAGAGCCACCTGACTCTGCTTTCCAGGTTTTCCTGTTTGCCTTGCATATTTGCAAGAGGGAAATAATAGTCCTGGAACTAGCTCTTGTAGACCAGGCTGGCCTCGAACTCACAGAGATCCTCCTGCCTCTGCCTCCTAAGTGCTGGGATTAAAGACGTGTGTCACCACCGCCCAGGCAGTCTCTGTGTGGCACTGGGGACCTTGACCACACTGTCAATTCTCTACCTCCCGAAGTCACCAGAAATACATTTTAAAATTTAAAAAGCTTTAAAAGTAGAAAAACGAAAAAAGCTTTAGAATATTTTCTTTTTATCCCCCCTCCTTCCCTCCCTCCCTCCCTTCCCTCTCTCCCTCCCTCCTTTCCTTTCTGTTTTGAGGCATGATCACATGTAGCTCAGGTTAGCCATAAATGTGCTATGTGGCCAAGGATAACCTTGGGCTCCTAAACCTCCTGCCTCCCCCTCCAAAGTGCTGGGATTACAGGCATGCGCACTGCACCCAGCTTTTCTTTTCATTTTTCTCCCTTCCCACAGAACGAACCATACCACCCTACCTTTGAGTTTGGGGAAATGAGTCACACAGGGTTTTTTTCTCTCTTTTCTTTTTACTTCTTCCTTTTGTTACAAAGCCTCATATGGGTAAGGGAAGAGCTGGTATGTCACAGGAAGTCACAAACCCTTCAAAGTACCTGAGCTGCTTTAGGGATCCTGGTATTGCCTCACAGACCGTCTCCAGGACCACACTCAAAAGAGCAAGGTAAGTGGAGATGGGACATTTGTGGGCTCTGTGGCTATCTTATTGCAGGTGTATGAGCAGCATGAACAGGTACCTGCTCCAGCCCAACATCCAGGTGTTTATTTATTTTTTAAGATTTATTTTCTATGTAAGAGTGTTTTGCCTGCCTATGTGTAAGTGCCCCATAAGTGTGCCTGTGCCTATGGAAGTCATAAGATGAGGGCTTTGGATCTCCTGGAATTGGGGTTATAGCTGACTGTGAGCCACCCTGTGGATGCTAGGAATTGAACCCGGGTCCTCTGCAAGAGCAGCAAGTTGCTGAGCCGTTTCTCCAACCCCACACTCAGGCTTCTGTTCTTGTTGGTGTTCGCTGGCCTATATCCTGGAGTGTTTGCACTTTCTACCTGCTTGCGTGCCTCCCAAGGCTTCCTTAGCCAGGCTTTCACGTAGACTCGGCTCTGCCCCCAAACCTGAAACTTTCCCTAGGATTGCTAACTTTCTGCTTCTACTAACAAGTCAAGCAATGCCACACACGTGGGATTACAGAACTGTAAGCAAGTTATTTACTTATGTATTACTTTTCTTTTAAGATGTATTTGAGGGCTGGGGAGATGGCTCAGTGGTTCAGGGCACACACTGCTATTCCTGAGGTCCTGAGTTCAATTCCTACCACTCACATGAGGTGGCTCACAACTGCCTGTCACACCAGCTCCAGGGGAGTCTCACACCTCTGACCTCTGTGGGCACTGGCATTCATGTGCACATACCCACATACAGGTAACTAAAATAAATAATTAAAAAATTAAAAAAGAGATTATTTGATTACATTTACTTATATATGGTGTGTACATGTTTATATGTGTGTACACGCTTGCCAGGGTGCTTGTGTGGAGCGCAGAGAATGATCTGCTACAGAGGACTGTTTTCTTCTACCTTGTGGCACCAGGAGATTAGACTCGGGCTTGATGGCAAGTGTCTACATTTGCTGAGCTGTCAGTTCTGCCTCACTCCTCTGTGAGAGTCTGATATGGTGTAGGCTGGCCCCAAATTCACTGTGTGGCTGAGGCTGGCCCCAGACTCACTGTGTGTCTGAGGCTGGCCCCAAACTCACTGTGTGGGTGAGGCTGGCTCCAAACTCACTGTGTGGGTGAGGCTGGCCCCAAATTCACTGTGTGGCTGAGGCTGGCCCCAAACTCACTGTGTGGGTGAGTCTGGCTCCAAACTCACTGTGTGGGTGAGGCTGGCCCCAAATTCACTGTGTGGCTGAGGCTGGCCCCAGACTCACTGTGTGTCCAAGGCTGGCCCCAAACTCACTGTGTGTCCGAGGCTGGCCCCAAACTCACTGTGTGGCTGAGGCTGGCCCCAAACTCACTGTGTGGCTGAGGCTGGCCTTGAACTTCTGGTCTTCCTGCCCCTGCCTCTCAAGTGCTGGCAGGAGCCGCTGTGCCAGGCTGACCTTTTTTTGTTTGCTTTTCCGAGACTATCCTCGTTCCTGTTTTGTTTCTCCCTTCCATTTTCACTAGTGAAACGCTGTTAGTCACTGACCGACTTCTCTCAGGAGACCCTGCCATGCGGCAAGTCTTCAATGTGCCTTTCCAAGAAAAACAAATGAACAAAATCTTTGTTGAGAAACACCAGGGCAGGGGCTAGGGAGGTGGTTCAGTGGGCACAAGGCCCCAAGTTCAGATCTCCAGCAGGCAAGCAAAAGCCAGGTGTGGTGGCGCGTGCCTGTAGCCCTAACCTTGCAGGGTGGAGATGGGCACCTGGGGGCTCCTTGGCCAGCCTGTCTACCCAGAACAGAGAGCTTCAGGTTCAGAGATGAGACTGTGTCTCAAAAAGAGAAGGTGGAAGGCGACAGAGAAAAACCCTCTGGTCCCATAAACGCAGGCAGAGATGATGTGTACACGTATGTCTACATGGCACACAGACATATACAGAGGAGCACTGTAGGATTCAGGCATGTAGTAATGAAGACACGGGGAGGGATTAGATGTGAATTCCTGAACAAAATGAGAAGGATTTAGCAGGGACTGCCAGGGTGCCAGAGAGACAGAGATCAGGAAGTGGGGGGTGGTCCTGGGTCAGAAAGCTGCTTAATCCCGCCATGCTCAGGTGAGTATTTTGTGTGAATAACTGCAAAAAAAAAATGTTTTAATCTCTGTATCCACCATTTTACCTATTCATTTTTATGCTTTGTTTACTTATTTGAAAAGGTTTCTTCTGTGTAACCCTGGCTGTCCTGGAACTAGCTCTGTAGACCAGGCTGGCCTTGAACTCACAGAGATCCACCTGCCTCTGGGTGCTGGGATTAAAGGTGTCCGCCACCACCGCCCGGCCACAACCAGAATTCTTAACCACTAAGTCACCTCTCCAGCCCCTTTAGCTCCTTGTTTATTTTTGAGACAAGGTCTATCTATCTAGCCCTGGCCGGCCTGGAACCCTCTGTGTATACAAGGTTGACCTCAAATTCACAGAGCTCTGTCTCTGCCTCCTGAGTGCTGAAATTAAAAGCAAGCGTCACCGTGCCCTGCTTCCTTTTATTCTTTTACATTTATTGTGTATGTGTGTGGGGGGTGCATTTATGCCAGAAGACAGCTTTCTTGAGAGTCAGGTCTCTTCCTTCACCTCAGTGGCAAGTGCCTCTACCTGCTGGGACATCTCACTGGCCAGAGAACATTTTAAACTGTACCACCTCGAGGGAGAAGTCCAATCCTTACTTATCCCTGAGGGAAATGAGCTTCCCAGCAGAGAGAGAGAGAGAGAGAAGTCCAGGAGGTGAACGCTTCTGGCTGACTCCCAAGGTAGAGGTGATTTTCTCTGACCTTGCAGTCCCTTCTGGACAGGGTGTACAATTTGGGGCAGCATCATGTACAGCTGTTCCTAGCATTACGCAATCTTTTGATTTCTTTTCATTCTTCCAGGCATCTCATTTGTTCTTTTCGTTGGCTTCTTCTGCTTGTACCCGGAGCCCGTAGATCCTGAAGATGAAACCCACGGATGTAGCAGACATCACCACCCAGGATGAAAACGTGTACAATTATTACTACCACGACCAAAACATTCCCAAACCTTGCACCAAGGAAGGTGTCAAGGCCTTTGGGGAGCTCTTCCTGCCTCCTCTTTATTCCTTGGTCTTTCTGTTGGGTCTGTTTGGAAACTCTGTTGTAGTTCTGGTGTTGTTCAAGTACAAGAGACTCAAGTCCATGACCGACGTGTACCTGCTGAACCTCGCCATCTCAGATCTGCTGTTTGTTCTTTCGCTCCCGTTCTGGGCCTACTACGCCGCTGACCAGTGGGTTTTTGGATTGGGTCTGTGCAAGATTGTGTCATGGATGTACCTGGTGAGCTTTTACAGCGGCATCTTCTTCATCATGCTCATGAGCATCGATAGGTACCTGGCCATCGTGCACGCGGTGTTTTCCTTGAAAGCGAGGACTCTGACCTATGGGGTCATCACCAGCTTGGTCACGTGGTCAGTGGCTGTGTTCGCCTCCCTTCCGGGCCTCTTGTTCAGCACTTGCTACACAGAGCACAATCACACGTACTGCAAGACCAAGTACTCAGTCAGCTCGACCTCCTGGAAGGTCCTCAGCTCCCTGGAGATCAATGTCCTAGGGCTGGTCATCCCGCTGGGGATCATGCTGTTCTGTTATTCCATGATCATTCGGACCCTGCAACATTGCAAGAATGAGAAGAAGAGCAGGGCAGTCAGGATGATCTTTGCTGTGGTGGTCCTCTTCCTCGGCTTCTGGACGCCGTACAACGTGGTGCTTTTCCTGAAGACCCTGGTGGAGCTTGAGGTCCTTCAGAACTGCACCTTGCAGAGGCACCTAGACTTCGCCATCCAGGCCACAGAGACCCTGGCCTTCATCCACTGCTGCCTCAACCCCGTCATTTACTTCTTTCTTGGGGAGAAATTCCGAAAGTACATCGCCCAGCTCTTCAGAATGTGCCGGGGTCCTCTTGTGCTCTGCCAATACTGTGACTTCCTTCAGATCTACTCAGCCGACACCCCCAGCTCCTCTTACACGCAGTCCACTGTGGATCATGACCTCCGGGACGCTTTGTAACCACGTGAACGGGGTAGCATGACATTAACAAGCTCTCCACAGCCAGCGCTAGCCCACCTTGTTTTCAGCAAGGGTGCCCCGAGCAAGTGTCTGAGGAAAGCAAACGAGCAAAACTCATGGAGGGCTGGCTTCTCACTCTGCAGGTGGCTCTTCCTCTTTCCTTGGAGAAGTACAGCCCAAAATGTGTTTAGCTGCTCTGAGTTTGTTCACACACCAGGTCTGCCTACAGGGAGAGGGGAACCTGGGGAGGCCTGTCCAGTTTCAGTGGGCTTGTAGATTGCACTGAAGACATGTCCCCTCTTCCCAGCCTCCCCTGCTAGGGGACTCTCCAGAGATGGGTGGAGGAAATCACTCTTCCACCGTGGAAACGAGCCTTTGAATGAATCTCCAGTTTTTGTAGAACTGTCTTGATGACTTTGGCTTGCTGTTGTCCTGGTGTTTTTCCAGTGGTACTCTATGAAGACAGATGTATAGAGAAATAAGGATTTTAAGTCATGGTTCTTTTGCTATAGAGGGTTGTTCATTGATGCCTGGCTATACATGAAGGTGATGAGGCATTCAGATGATCCTGTCTCCACTTGAAACAGGCATTTAGAACATACCTGTTAAAATCCACATGCGGCTTGGCTTGCATATATATATATGCAAATATATATATTTGTTTTTGTTTTTTCAAGACAGGGTTTCTCTGTGTATCTTTGGCTGACTTCAAACTCACAGAGATTTGCCTGCCTTTGCCTCCCAAGTGCTGGGATTAAAGGCATGCACCACCAGGCCTGGCACTGATCTATGTTTTAATTATGACAGGTGGTGGTTATTCAAATCAGGCTAGGGGGTGAAATGCCCTTGTAATCTTATCTGCTCTGTGGCTGAGACCAAGGGATCTTAGATTCAAGGATTACCTGGATAATACCAAAACCAAATCCAAACAAAACCCCAATGTTTAGCTCTGAAAGGCTCTTCTGAGTACCCTAAATTCATCTTTCTCTCTCTTTTTTAATGTGATCATGGTGGCAAGTGTTTTTTATCCCAGCAATTGGGAGGCAGAGGCAGGAGGATCTCCAAGTTTGAGGTCAGCCTGGTATATGAATTTAGTTCCAGGATAGCCAAGGCTATACAGAGAAACCCTGTTTTGAAAAACAAAAACATTAACAAAACCAAAAACCATGAGCTTTATGAGCCAGGTGGTGGTAGTGCACACCTTTAATCCCAGTACTTGGGAGGCAGAGGCAGGTGGATCTCTGTGAATGTGAACCCAGCTTGGTCTACAGAGCAAGGTCCAGGCCACTCAAAGCTACACAGTGACACTTTGTATCAACAAAAAAGGAAGGAAGGAAGGAAGGAAGGAAGGAGGGAGGGAGGGAGGGAGAGAAAGAAGGAAGGAAGGAAAGAAGGAAGGAGGGAAGGAAGGAGGGAAGGAGGAAGGAAGAAGGAAGGAAGGAAGGAGGAAGGAGGAAGGAGGAAGGAGGAAGGAAGGAAGGAAGATGGTATATTAATAAAGTATGACAATATCTATTGAGATAAGGATAGAAAAGTCATTATTCAGCCGCACAGTGGTGGCGCACGCCTTTAATCCCAACACTCAGGAGGCAGAGGCAGGCGCATCTTTGAGTTTGAAGCCAGCCTGGTGTACAAGAGCTAGTTCCCAGGACAGGCTCCAAAGCTACAGAAAAACCCTGTCTCAAAAAACAAAAACAAAAAAAGTCATTACTAGTGGGTGTTAAGATAGCTATTAAATTATAAAGTTGTGCTGGGCGGTGGTGGCACACTCCTTTAATCCCAGATCTCAGGAGGCAAAGGCAGGCGAGCTTCAAGTTCGAGTCCAACCTGGTCTACAGAGGGAATTCCCGGACAGCCGGGGTTAGAACAGTTACTCTTATAATATTTTAATAATTTATCATGTTATAATTTATCATGTTACATCATTAAGATAATTTGCTAAGTCTGTTTTTACTCAAGTAATTTAAAGTCTTCCCAGTTATTTTACATGTATGGTGTTTGCCTGCATGTATATCTGTGTGCCTGCAGAGGCCAGAAGAGGGTGTTGGGACCCCCTGGAACTGGAGTTACAGATTCCTGTGAGCTGTTCTGTAGATGCTGGGAATTGAACTCAGGACCTCTGGAAGAGCAGGCAGTGCTCTTAACTGCTGAGCCATCTCTCCAGTCCCTTGTTTTGTTTTTTAGACAGCCTCACCGGGAGCATAACCTGCCCTAGGATTCAGTGTGTAGCCAAGCTGGCTCTGACTTTTCCCAGTCCTCATGTGCTGGGATTATAGATGTGAGCCTCACATCCAGCTCCATAGATTAACTGCTCAGAATTGAGTGAAAACTCCAATAGTTTGTGAGAGCAGATCCCTCCCAAAATAAGAGCCAATCTGGAGAGATACCCGGTTAAAATGCTTCTGTTAAGTGTGCACATTGTAGCACCTGCTGCCTTTATTAAGAACACATTTCTAGAAGTTTATTTTCTGAAGAGTGGCTTCAACAGGAAAATTTGAGAAATTTATGGAAAACAAAATAAAGTCGCGTATTCAGCTGCGCTAAGCCTTTGTTCCTGACCGTGTCTCTGTGTGCTCTTCTGGTATGGGTGGGAGTTGGAGTTCTTGGCCCACCAGAGGTTTAGCCACGTGCTGTAAGTCTAAGAGAAGAATGGATGAGTTAACTGTTAAATTCTCCATGTGGGGGCTGGCAAGATGGCGCAAATGGCACAACTGGCAAAGGTGCTTGCCACTAAGCTTGGTGACCTGAGTTTAATCTCTGGGATCCACATGGTGGAAAGCAGAACTGATTCCCAAAAGGTATTCTCCAACCTCCTTATCTGTGCCATGGCACATGTGTGTACGAGAGAGATAGAGAAAGAGACAGAGAGGAATGGAAAGCTAAAGGCCCAGATGGGCCAAGAGGAGCCCTTGTGTTGTGCACTAGGAGGTGAGGGCACACAGAGGTTGGAGCGGCTCCTGACTTTGTGTGTATATAGGTGTGAAATTTTGCTTTCTCCCTCTAGGAAATGACATGTGGCAATCAGTCTTTGCCTCCTCAGATATGATTCATTACACACTGTAGTCACATGTTGGATTCTCACACTGTACCCCATAAACATGTACTTGCATCCCGCACCTATCTAAAAGATAGCAGGAGAAGGGTATATAGGCTTTGTCCAGACTTTTCTTTTCTCCTTTTGTTTTTTTCTAGGCAAGGTCTCTCTATGTAGCCCTGGCTATCCTGGAACTCCCTCTGTAGACCAGGCTGGCCTCAAATTCAGAGATCTGCCTGCCTCTGCCTCCCAAGTCCTGGGATCAAAAGCGTGCGCCACCACAGCCTGGTTTAGGAGTAGCTCTTATTTGTTTTCTTAGAAAGCTTTGACTTGCTGTGCAGTGGTAGCACAAGTCTTTAATCCTAGCACTCGGGAGGCAGGGAGGCAAAAACAGGCAGATCTCTGAGTTCAAGGACAACCTGGTTCACAATCTAGTTCCAGGACAGCCAGGGCTACACAGAGAAGCCAAGTATAAAACAACAACAACAAAGACAAACAAAAAGAGGAAACTTTGGCCCTAAGGTGGCTATCAGGTGGTAAAACGCTTGCAGTGCACAAAGACCCAAGTGGCATCCCTAGAACTCTCACAGTTTTTAAGAAGCCAGGCATGGTGGCATGTACTTGTCATCCCAAAGTGGTGGCAGCAGGGACTGCAGGAGACTTGCTGCCCAGTCTAGCAGGATCTGCAAGCTCCAGGGCCAGGGGGAGACCCCATCTCACAAAGAAACACATGAAAACATGGAGAGCCATTCATGAAGACACCTGATACTGCCCTCTGCATCCACACACGTGTGCACATATCTGCCACACACCCACCTTTACACACACACACAGAAAATTTGCACCCAGTGTGACAGGCTCCCCTTACTCTGTGGGGAGCCTGAGCATGCTGCTGCTTTTCTCCTTGGCCTCAGTTTCCCCATCTGGGCCATGAAATGTCTTTTTTTTTTTCTGAGACAAGGTTTCTTTGTATAGCCCTGGCTATCCTGGTACTCCCTCTTGTAGACTAGGCTGACCTCGAACTCACAGAGATCTGCCTGCCTCTGCCTCCCAAGGGCTGGGATTAAACACATGTGCCACCACCGCCTTGCCCATGAAACGTATTTCTAGATGATTGAAAGAAATCAGTAAGAGGACTCATGCCAAGCATGCTCCAAGCTTGTGCAGAGGGTGTGGGAGTTTCTCAGCCAGAGGCTGCCTCCTGTTTCCTGGCAGAGCTTTGCTCATTTTAGCATCGTGACACAGAAGCGTGGTGACTGGTAAAGGATCTGCTCCCTGTCCCCAGCACACAGAAGCGTGGTGACTGGTAAAGGATCTGCTGCCTGTCCCCAGCACACAGAAGCGTGGTGACTGGTAAAGGATCTGCTGCCTGTCCCCAGCACACAGAAGCCTGAGCAGCGCTGCATTGTGGTCCATCCTTCTACCATGGTGGGGTCTCCTCTTGTCTCCACTCACTCACAAAGGAGGCAGCTGTGTGGAGTTACTGGCAAGTTACCATCCTGCAGTGGCCTCAAAGACGGGACAGCGGCCTGTCCACTCCACCCCTGTCTACTCCACCCTCGTCCACTCCACCCCTGTCCACTCCACCCCTGTCCACCCTGTCCTCTCCACCCCTGTCCACTCCACCCCCATCCACTCCACTCCTGTCCACTCCACCCCTGTCCTCCCCAGCCCTGTCTACTTTACCCCCATACACCCCACCGTCATCCACTCCACCCCTGTCCACTCCACCCTCGTCCACTCTACCCCTGTCCACTCCACCCTCGTCCACTCCACCCCTGACCACTCCATCCCCATCCACCCCATCCCCACTCACTCCACCCCTGTCCACTCCACCCCATCCCCGTCCACTCCACCCCTGTCCATTCCACTCCAGCTCAGGTCAGAAGCATTTCCTCTACTACTTATTAGGAGATTGACAACTGACAGCTCAGCCACTATTTCTTCAGGAATGGTCATCTTCTGGGGACAGTTTGTATCTAGTGACCGCATTATGAATGGAGGCAAGCCTTTTCTCCTCATCCAGCTCTGGGACAACTCTGAAGGATCCCAGCAACTCTTGAGCTCCCCTAAGTTTATCTGAGGCTTCTATTGTATCCCATCATGGTGAGCCTTTCTTTCTTTTCTTTTTTTTTTTTTTTTGTTTATTTTATTTTATGTTTTTGGTTTTTCAAGACAGGGTTTCTCTGTAGCTTTGGAGCCTGTCCTGGAACTAGCTCTTGTAGACGAGGCTGGCCCTGAACTAACAGATCCGCCTGCCTCTATCTCCTGACTACTGGGATTAAAGGTGTGCACCACCACCGCCTGGCCATGGTGAACCTTTCTTACTGCCCAAACTGGTGCGGCTCATGCCCATACAGGTGTCTCTGAGAGGAGTGCCGTGTGGTTCCCTGCGTGCTGCTTTCAGAGTCTCAGGCTGTTTCCAGGGAGGTGAAGGCCGAACATGACACCAAGCATCACCTGGTCCTTGCACCAGGGCATCCTTCCTTCATCATTCCCTGAGCATCTGCCACACTTGATCCTTGCTCCTGCACTCTTCAGGACCCTGGTGACCTGCCTAAGCCCTGAGGTATTTTCCTCACGACTGTTTGCCATCTGACGGACGCAGCTTGCCAGCGACTGCCCATTCTGTAATCTTCCCTCAACAAAATGAACCCCTTTTTGTATTCACAGCACTTCATCTGTTTTTTAAAAATTACATTTATTATAATTTAGTGGGTGTGTCAGCACACGCTTGCCACAGTGTGCACTGACAATCCGAGGGTGACTCGCAGGAGTCCCATCTCTCCTCCCTCTGCTGGGTCCTGGGATCGAACGCAGGCTTAGCCGTGTCCCCGACCCACAACAGTTTACTGCTTAAACGTTTCTGACAGTTCCAAATTCCCCCCTCAGAGCCCCAGAAAGCCACCAGTGCCTTCACAAGCTGAGACTCATTTCAGACTTTCAAAGAGGAGATACAGTCACTTTAATGATCTCCAGAATTGGGCTTCAGGGGCCTGGGGATGTAGCTTAGCTGCCAGGATGTTGGCTGGCACCAGTGAAGCCCTGGGTTTGCTACATAAAAGGGGCACGGGGGCACAGCCTGTGAGGCTCAACACTGGGGAGGTGGAGGCAGGGGAGTCAGTGTAAAACAATAAGACAAAAACTTCAGTTACGTTTACTTGTTGTGTGTGTGTGTCTGTCTGTCTGAGGATAATTTGCAGAAGTCGGTTCTCTGCTTCTACCATGTCCCAAGTATCAATTTCAGATGATCAGGTTTGGCAGCACCTTTACCAACAGAGCCATCTCACTGGCCCAGTGGTCAGGAGTTCAAGTTCATAGGCACCTACAACATTGAGTTCAAGGCCAGCCTGGGCTACACAGGATGATAGAAATTAAACAAACAAATAAATAAATTGAAGATCAGGGAAACAATATTGTAACCATGTATTTAACTCCACCGGCAGTAGCCACCAGGTCCAGGTGTAGTGAAATGGGTGAAAGAAACACTCGCTGGTTGTTTTTCACCTTGTGAATGTGCTTCCTCTGTCTGCCTAAGGCCTCTGCTCTAGTAAGCCCAGTTTCGCTTTAAGTATACAGAGACGCGGACCTCTAGTTCCAAAATCCCCCAAGTGTGTTTCTAATAAAACTTTATGTGACCCGGTTCAAAGACTGACCCAGTTGTTCCAGAAGCAGAGGCGGGTTTTGGGTAAAAAAGTTACTTCATCGAGACTTTTGATATGAGCAGAAGTGTGAGAGCTGAGAGTCTGGAGTTTCACCTCTGGGAGGTTGTAAAATGACATCAAGAAGAATAAACTTAAAAGCCATAAATTCCCGATTTTTATTTTTTCAGACAGCGTCTCACTAATGGATAAGGCTAGCCTTGAACTCAAGACCCTGCTACCCCAGCCTCCCACATGATGAGATTACAGGTGCCATCCACCATGCCTGATTAATAAGGCCCAAACTTATTTTATTTGTTGAAGTAAGGATCTCATGCCTATAGACAGACCCTCTATCCTGAGCTGCACCCTCACGTGGCTCAGAAGACACAAAAGGAAACGGAGTGCATGGGTCTTTGCATAATCATATGTCCACATGAAATCATAAAACAGGAAAAATAACCTGTTGAAAAAAAACTTCTAACAGTGCTCAACAGAATTCTGCTGCATTTCATTGCATATGGGAGATGTGGGTATACACACACAATCGCCAACATTTTTATATCACATGCTCAGAATAGGCAAGCTGGACTTAGGATGGCGGCGTACACCTGTAAACCCAGTAGATAGGAGCTAGACCAGCATGCTACCTCGGAGCCACGTCTCCAGCTGCAAGCTGTGCCTTTTTGTCCCCGAGAGAAAAGTAACTATTACATAGTCTAAGGAATTTCCAGGCTGCTCCTCAGGGGATCGGAGGAAGATAGAGAAGTTAGCACAGAAAGGGGGAAGACACAGAACCAGGATCTCCTCTGTAGCTGGTTCTGGACAACAGAAGGGATCTCATCTCCACACAAGGTCTCAGGTCTCTGGTGTGCCTTCAGCAGAGCCCTTCCCAGTCAGTAGCCAGCAGTTTTGTTTTGTTTTGAGACAGTGTTTCTCTGCGTAGCCCCAGCTGTCCTGTCACTATGTAGAGTAGGACGGCAGTGAACTCAGAGATCTTCCAGCTTCTGCCTCTCAAGTGCTGGGATTAAAGGTGTGCGCTCCCTTGCCCAGCTGTTTTTTATTATTTATTTTTACTTTCTTTTTTTTTCTTTTTGTATTTTTATAATTTACTAGTCCACACAGTTGGTATAAAATCAGGAAAAGCAAGCCAAGAGAGAGAGAGAGAGACAGAGACAGAGAGAGAGAGACAGAGAGAGAGAGAGAGAGAAAGGTCTGGAGTCTTAGCATCAGAAGGGCACTGTATATACATCTACAATTGGTGGCCAATACAAGTAAGTCATTGCCAGACAGTCCTTGGAGGCACAGAATACTCTAGACCCAGCAAGCCAGGGAACTCACAGTCCCAGGGGTCTAGATGCTTGTCCCGACACTCTGACCGTGAGAAAACTGTGGGAGTGACGGAGGCTTTGAGATTTATTTATTGTAATAATAACAACAGCCTAGCTAGGTATGAAAGCAGTTGTGAACCGTTTATATCACACGCAATTATTCAGGTCTCCATTCTACTTTATGTCATCAAACTGTTAATCGAGTTTCCAGTGAGTGGTTTAAGTGGTTAGTAATAACGAGGAATGGTAAATGTATAGCACCACTTCACAGACTCCTTGTCTCCAACTTCTCGTTGAAACGCGTGGCCCCGGCACTCTGCCTACGAGGATGAGTGTCCCAGAGCCACCAGGATGTTTTTGCAGAGGGCTCTGGTCAGGGTGTGTCGTCTGTGAGTGCGTAGGGCTCCACACAGCGATTCGGGCAGTGGATATTCCTGCGAAATGTACCAGGTCACCCCCAGTGTGAAGGCCTTTGGCCATTGGGGGTTTGTCCGCACACTTTGAGGCTGAGTGGGAGGGAGGTATCTGATTTTAGATGAAAAGGGCCACATGGGAGATTTTTATGTCTGAGCAAAACAAATGATAAAAACAAAAAACAAAAACAAAGATACTGAGCTTGGTTATAGTGTTAAGATGTAAAGTTCTTTAAGATTCAACACGAGGCTGACAGTCAACATAAAAAGCAAACAATCCTATGTACATATATGTAAAAAGTGTTATAAATAGGTTTTATAAACCATAGGTGTTCTATACACCTTAAATCGACAGCAATCCTCACTCAACCGCGTTCTGTTTAGTTTGACTTGAGTTGAGCTTTGGGGCTAGCTCTTTTGATTTGTTGGGTTTGATTTCTAGTTTCTTTCCTCCCTCCCCTTGTACCCTATGCATGCTCAGAGCCTAGACGGACAGTGCATTGGGCGCCTCATTCATGTTTCCGTAGGATTACGTAGACGATGCCACTGAGGCGCGCCAGGGGAAAGGCCACCCAGGCCAGGATGTAGGCGAAGCCACGGGAGTATTCAGTGTTGGCCTGCCACTCTCTGTGCCTCACTGTGTAGATGGCCGCTGGACTCATCACGCAGAGACCAGCAAGGATCTGGAAGAATCTGGTGATGTAAAAGTGGCTGCCCTTGGTGAGGGTGAAGAGCTGGCAGAAGAACAGGAACAGAGACAGGACACTGAAGATGACAGACAGGACCATGGAGGCCTGGGCAGACTGCAGCCATTTGCTCGCTGATGGCGAGGAGCAACGTTGGACAGCTCCAGAGAAGGTCATGGTACAGTTCTGCCAGAGATCAGTGGTGCGTCCATTGCCCACGAGCCATCGGCTGATGATGGTGGAGATGAAGAGCAACACTAGCACAGCGACGTGGAGGAACAGGATCCCCAACAACAGTAGGAACATGGTGACTGGGAGTTGGGCTCGGCTCGGTGGAGTGGTGCTTGCAGTTCAAAGGGACAGCTGTCTCAGAGCAGTGTGGCCTCAGGCACAAACTCTGGTGCCACCTCTGGGTTGCTGGTGTCCCCAAAAGACAGCTGTGCCTTGGGGTTGTGCATGCCTGTTGGGAGCAGTGAGACCCCAGATCCTGAATTTCTTGTAATCCCCTGATCTGAGTGCCTACAGCTGCTCTGAGCACGAGACCTTCAGGAGTTCCTGATGGCAGGAGAGTGGTTTCTGGTGGGTTTGGCTTGGGTGTGGCTATCTCTATATAATCTGCTCCTGAACGCAATAAAGGGGGCATTCTTGGGGAATTCAAGGATGACCCGTGTTACTGTCTCTCTGTCTGTGTGTGTCTGTGTATTTTAACCTCCAGCCCCCTTACCCGAAGCTCACCAACTGGGTGCCAGCGCACAGAGCGCAGACATGGGGGCGCAGTGCACGGCACACACCTGTTTTTGTTTTTTTTTAATTTTTAAAATTTTCTTGATTTTTTTTAATTTTAAAAAATTTAAATTATAACTATTTTTTGCGGGACACCCGTGTCATGGAGCACATGAAGAGGTCAGAGGACAACTCTCTCCCTTAACCATGTGGGAACTGGGAATCGAACTCAGGTCATTAGTCTTTGCAGCAAGTCTCTTTCCCTGCTGAGCCATCTCATCAACCCCTGTTTTTTTTTTTTTTTTTGTTTTTGTTTTTTGTTTTTTTTCGAGATAGGGTTTCTCTGTGGCTTTGGAGCCTGTCCTGGAACTAGCTCTTGTAGACCAGGCTGGTCTCCAACTCACAGAGATCCGCCTGCCTCTGCCTCCCGAGTGCTGGGATTAAAGGTGTGCGCCACCACCGCCCGGCCCCTGGTTTTGATTTTTGAGACAGGTTCTCAATGATGCAACAACTCAGGCTGACCTTGCACTTAACTCTGTTCTTGAACTGAAGGTGATCCTCCTGCCTCAGCCTCCCAAGAGCAGGCACTACAGGCATATAAGGAGTAGCTGTGTGAGGAACAGAGGAGCTATCTCTTTAGGAGCTAGAGGAGGGTGTGCCTACTGTGAAGTTTTCTGGCTAGGGCGGTGTGTTGGTTACTTTCTTTTGCTATGTCAAAATAACCGACACAAGCGAGGAAGGGTTTATAGTCTCTCGCAGTCTGAGGGTGCGGTCCACCATGGTGGGGGAGACACCACAGCTCCTGAGGTGGTGAGACAACCTGCATGCGGGAGCTGGTCACAGGCATCCGCAGTCAGGAACCAGGGATGAACATTGAGTCCTTCTTACCCAGTCTGGAGCTCCAGCCCGTGAGGGGGTACAGCCCACACTCAGGGTGAGGGGGTCTTTCTTCCTCAGATAAGCCTCCCTGAAAACACCCTCACAGACACACCCAGAGTTGTGTTTCCATGGTGACCCTAAATTTAGGCAAATTTTTTTTTGGTTTTTCGAGACAGGGTTTCTCTGTAGCTTTGGAGCCTGTCCTGGAACTAGCTCTTGTAGACCAGGCTGGTCTCGAACTCACAGAGATCCGCCTGCCTCTGCCTCCCGAGTGCTGGGATTAAAGGCGTGCACCACCACTGCCCGGCCTTAGGCAAATTTTTAACAATGCAGATTCACCATCCCTGGCAGGTTCTCAATGATGCAATTTGTCCAATTCAGGGCCAACCAAGGAGTTGCTGTGGAGGGGAAGAGAGGGAGAACAAAGAGAAGGAGAGAGATGTTTACAAATACAAGGGAATCTGGCCTGCAAAAGAAGCATCCAACCCAAAGCTCAGGCCGAGGAAGAAACAGCAATAGACAGGATCAGCAATTAGCACGTGGGTTCACGCAACCAAAATAGTGTGGGAAACGCTGTATGTGGGGAGGCTGCTGACTTGGGCTGAGGAAAACACCCGTTAAGACGAGCAGAAGAGAGAGAACAGCTGCTGCTGGCAGGAGGGCGGTTCCCACCCAAAGGTGTGACCGGAGACATGTGGGTATCAGTGCCAAACTGCTGTCTACAGCTGAACTCAGTTTCTCTTTTGTGCCTCCCTGGTTCAGTGTGTTCATGTGCATAATGCGTATGTAAGTGTGGAGAATGCACATATGTGCCCATGCGTGTGAAAGCTGGAGGCCAACCTCAGATATTCCTTAGGTCAGCCATCTTTCTTTTAAGAATTAATTCTTTCTGTTCTTTAATATTTATCTATTTATTTATTTATTGTGGGGCTGGAGATGTGGTTCAGGATTTAAGAGCACTTGCTGCTCTTACAGAGGATCAGGTTTGGTTCCCAACAAGCACAAAGCACAGGGGTTCACAACTGCCTGTAACTCCAGTCCTCTCTGGCCTCTTTGGGCACCTGCATTCAGATGCACATGTTCACACAGATGCAGATCTTTATCTCTATCTATCTATCTATCTATCTATCTATCTATGTATCTATCTACATAATTTAAGTCTTAAAAGTTTTTAAAATAAGTGTGTGTGTGTGTGTGTACCAAGGCACACACATGTAAATGTCAGAGGACATGTTGCTAGAGTTGAGTCTCTCCTTCCACCACGCATGTCCCAGAGAATAATCTCAGGTTGAGGCCTGGTAGTAAGTGTCTTTGCCTGCTGAGCCACCTCACTGGTCCTGCCTTGTTCTTTGAAACAGGGTCTCTCACTGGGCCAGAACTTTCTGAGGAGGCTGGGTTGGCGAGTCTGTGGGCTCCATGTCATGGTCTGTTCTGTCCCTTTAAGAGACAAGCCCTGCGTACTCTCCCCTCCTTCTGCAGAGGCAAGTGGCTCTTCCTTCTGCTTCCAGCCTGAGCTCCTTTCTTTTCTGGTCTCTCCTGAAGAGGTAGCTTCTCCTCTCCTCCATCCTCCATCTCTCTCTGTCTCTCTCCTTGTCCCCCTTCTCCCTCCCTCTCCCCTTTCCCCTTCCCTTCCATAACCCACTAAATAAATACTCACTTTCTCTGCATGATGTGCCTATCCATCTCTGTCTCTGTCTCTCTCTCCTCATCCCTTCTCCCTCCCTCTCCCCTTTCCCCTTCCCTTCTATAACCCACTAAATAAATACTTTCTCAGCGTGGTGTGCTTATGCATCTGTCTCTCACCTGCAGTGGCTCTTTGTGGGACCGGTTGACCTGCTGAGTCTCTCACCTGCCATACAGCTCCCTGCCTGGGACCCACTGCCCCTCATACCCCACTGCCTGCTGCCACCTCTCAGGGGCCTGCAGAGTTTTATTTTTACCATTATATTCCAGAGATCTGCCTGTCTGTCTCCCTGCTGCTAGGATTGCAAGGAGGTGCCATCACACTCTAGCTGTTCTTCCTTCTGTCTCCTCTCTCCCTCTCTCTGACCTTAGAAGCCTCTTGCCTCCCAAGGCCTCATCCTCAGGACCAGGACGGAGAAGGACACACATGTATCATTTTAGGAACACAGATGGAACATCCGTAGCTTGAAAATGGCTAGAGATGAGGAGGTAAAAGTGTGCAAAGAAGACAAAAGGATGACCAAGCAATCCAGGGGGTGGGAGAACCTCTCCAGGCTGAGGCAGCAGGCTGGGAATGTAGCTTATTGGTACAGTGCTTGCCCAGCATGCATGAGACCCTGGAATCCTCCACACAAGTGATGCCTGATGGCCCACACTTACAATCCTAGGACTTTGGAGGTAGAGGCAGAACCAGAAATTCAAGGTCATCTTTGGCTATGTGGTGAGTTCAAGGCCAGCCCAGGCTGCACAAAACACCGTCACAAACAAACATACACACAAACACAGAAAAAAAGGGAGCAAAATCGGTATTGCTTCTCAGTGTTATTGAGTTTGTCTGGTGTCCGCTGCGTCAAGGCTTCTGTGGTCTTACAGGTTAGAAGGCCCAGTGTGGGTGAAGGTTTCTGGAACTCAAGGCAGCTGCTCCGCATTTGAGTCACGATACAGCAGCAGAGTGTGTAGGATGCCCCTGTCTCTCATGAATTTGAATTGTTTGGAACACGCAGACTGTCTAGCCAGAAGAAACAATGGGAGGGGTTAAAAATGTTTTTCTTTTAAATGAAATCTTGCATCTTTCAAGAGGACGACACTGGGGTGTCAGACATACCTGAAGGAGTGGTGGCATCACGGGGCCCCAAGCTCCCTGCGCCTTGGCTGAGGGCCTACTGGGGGCTGGATGTGCTCTGCCAGGTGCCATGGATATAGGAATTGAACATCACGTGAGGGATTGGGAACCCTTTAACCCTCTTGCTTTAGCCTCCGCTGCGGTTGGATCACAGGTGTGAGCCACCTACACACAGTTCTCTTCATTTGTTACTGAGGCAAGATTTCAAGGATGGCCTTGAACTTCTGAGACAGGGTTTCTCTGTGTAGCTTTGGAGCTTGTCCTGGAACTTGTTCTGTAGACCAGGCTGGCCTCAAACTTGTGGAAATCCACCTGCCTCTGCCGAGTGCTGGGATAAAGGCACTTGAACTGGCAGCCTTGAATTTCCTACATAGCTAAGGATGACCCTGAACTTCTGAGCTTCTGCTTTGCTTCCCAAGTGTTGGAAACAGAAGTGTGTAACAGAAGTGTGTACCATCATAACAGGCTCCTGAGGAAGGACCCAAGTCCTTCGGCTGCTGCTCCTTGGGCCATTGCATGATTCTAGAGTCCACAGGAAAGGGGACAGGACAGATGTAATGAAACCTCCACAAAGTCTCTTTGCTTAGCAAAATTCAAAGCAAAGAGGAAGCAGATGGGATAGACAGCACCGCCTGAGTGAAAGATTTCACCAACAGATAAGAAACAAAGAAACCCAGCTTGGCGCTTCTCACGCCTGCATGGGGCTGACAGGCACGTTCCTAACCTGCACCGAGGTTCCTACCGCCTCCCATGTGGTTAGTTCACCAGGGGCCAAGACAAGCTGAATCCTCGCCGTAAAACACAGGCTAAGGGAACCTAGTGTGGATCAAGCCCTGTGCTTTGCCAATGGGTAGGGACCAAACAGGAACAGGATTCATTTCAGATCAGTGTCTCGACC